GTATTAATCAAAATGGATGAGATATCCGTAAATATTCGTAAATATCCGCAAATATCTATTTATTTTCCGGATATCCGTTTTTCCGGATATCCGTATTTTTTCGAAGCAAAGCAAATACCAAAATTAGATATCCGTAACATTCGAAGCAAATCACAAATACCTTAAAAAACCCGGATATCCGATCCGTGCCCACCCCTAAGGCCACAAATGAAAAGTCAATAGTTAGGGCCATTTATGAGTAAATGTCACTATGATTATATCCACTTGTTTTGTTTGTATACCCATAAATGTAAATCTTGGACCAATATTTGTTGGGTAAGTTATCAAGGCTGTGGCCATTTGAATAACTTAGAGAATTTGAAGCCGTTTGAAATCTCGTATTGAAAACGAACAAGTTGTAGAAATGGGTCAACGTCATATTTAAGATTAGAAGAACCTCGAGATAACGGACCTAGAACCCTATAAGACAAGCTTACGGAATGTTTGAGATGATAATGACACTTCTTTTGGATATTTATTAACCACTATTGGTTGAATAACAAATCCTAGCAGATCTCAATTTGCCAACTTGAATAAGTAGAATAGGATTTGGATTATGTCAATGGGTAAACTACAGTTGTAATTTGGTCCTCCTGGTCCCTAACATTAATAAAATGAATGGTATACATTTCCTTGTTATTTGATGTCATATACTGTAAAGTTTTTAGACCGACACCAATGGAAAATAATATATTCACGAGTTGATGATAGAAACAGTTATACATTCATTTTTAGTTCACTGTAGACAGACGAACATTTTATTTTACTCGAATATTAGGAGACGCTAGCATTTTGCAAATTGTGGCTATTTGGACATCATGCTCTCGACTTCAACCGTTTGGCATGTTTTTCATTTTGTATAAAAAAATGTTACTTTTAACTGGATGTACTAGTAACAATTAAATCCTCAAATAAGTAGATACTCGCCCAAAAAACCCCACACATGAAACAGAAAATAGTTTTATTATCTCTAGAGGGGTTAATAAACCTTTTGAGAAACCAAAACAAAGAGAACACCTCAGAAGGGTGAAGGAGGAACTTCAATGGTGGTTCCAGCTTGGATCTGACCCCAACCAATCAAACGCCAATGCTTCTCCACACGCCTACTCAGTGCCACTTTCTCTCCTTTGCTCGTGCATACAGGCGCAGTCAGCTGCAACTTAGCCAAATCGTTCTTAACTCCAACAACTTTGGCACCAGTGGACATGGAACCGATGTTAAGCATCAGAATCTCTCCCTTTGTTAGCTTTGACACTTTCCCTTGCTTCTCTGATCCCTTTGTTCTCACTCCCAGTAGACGCCGTAGAAGAAAGAAGTTCACCTAACAGATTTAAACCGAATTAACCACCTATCAATTTAGAGTTTAATGCTATTATTGTGAGTGTCACTTGTTGTTTCATACCTCGAGTTCAACAAAGACATCAGGAAGGGAACCGATTTCACCAAGGACTTGACCAACTAATCGATCTGCACGAGTAAGTGTTGGGTCCATTGTTGTTCCAACTCCAATTAGACCTCCAGGAACTGCATACTGAAGCTCGTTCTGTTCTGCATAGAGTGAAATAATGCGGGAGTAGATTGGAGTGCATTTTGGGTTGCCACGCTCGTCTTTCACAACAATTCCAGGTCGGATCTCGATTAATTGGTTGACTTTCAAAACACCCTACAATGAAAAAAATGTAGTTAGAGATACCTTTTACACACTTGATGATATATACTGTGCTGTCTGTGAATGATAAATACACACATAACATAGAAAGCTTGATGAAGCTAGAATATATATGCAAACACAAACAAGTTGTACTTGAGAGATCAAGAGAGATAAATCTATACCCGGAGGATACTTCCACCTGCAACTCCACCTTTAATCTCATCAACTTCGAATCCGGGTTTGTTGACATCAAAAGACCGAATCACTATCATATTTGGTGGTGACACAAAATTCCTCTTAGGGATTGGGATCTTCTTGACAATGTACTCGCATACAACATCAATGTTGTATTTCAGTTGTGCTGAGACGGGGACGATGGGAGCACCATCGGCAACAGTGTTCTGCAAACAGGATGTGATCAAATTTTAGAACCTCCATATCCCCTCTTAGCTTAACCAACTAATAAAATGAGAATGCAACAGAAGATTCTAAAAGGATAAAGAAAACCACACCATTATAAATTTCTGAATGGCCTCGTGCTGGTTAATGGCAACGTTCTCTTGGATAAGATCAATCTTGTTCTGGAGGATGATGATATGCTTCAGTTGCATAATCTCAACAGCAGCAAGATGTTCAGAAGTTTGTGGTTGCGGACAAGTCTCATTTGCAGCGATTAGAAGTAGTGCACCATCCATGATAGCTGCTCCGTTGAGCATTGTCGCCATGAGAATATCGTGCCCCTAAAAAAACACAATAAAACAAACAGACCATTGATATCTCAAGCTCTGGAAACTACCAATACAAGAAGAACAGAGACAACCATAACACATCATACCGGGCAATCCACGAATGACACATGCCTCAATAGTTTCATCTTAGCGTTCTCAAATCCAGGGACATCACAATTTGGACTATCTTCCTTTCCACTTCCATATGCCCTAGAATAACATATACGCTGTTAAGACTATCCAACACACACAACCTTATACTAGAAGAAAAAAAAACACGGGTTGCAAGAAAGAACTGACTTGTAGCACATTGGTCTAGGACACTTGTCATCCTCGCATTTGTAAATCTTGGCATTTGCATATCCAAGCTTAATCGTGATGTTACGCTCCAATTCATTCTTAAAACGAACAGTCTGCAAACAAGCAAGAAACCATACAAATAATATCACGTGACTCCACTATATCAACAGCTCTAGTAACATCACCATGGATCAATTCAAGATACGTGAAAAGAGGCAAAAAAATACATAATAACAAAATTACCTGAACACCAGAAATAGCTTTGACAACAGTAGACTTCCCGTGAGCAACATGCCCAATGGTTCCTGAAGATACAAACACTTACATAACCTTTAACTTCTACTATGCATAAAATAGTTAGTTTCTTTAACATCAAACTTATGTATATACAAAAAAACGTTACCAATATTGATAGTAGCCTGGCGAGAAATGACCTCAGGAGACAAAGGATGCAGCACAGTCACATCCAATTTACTAAGATCTTGCTCCGCCAATCCCTTGCTTCTAGCCATAGTGAGATTGATTTATCGAATGGTTTAATCCTCTCCTGCTTGAATCAATAATCAATCACACAACACCATTTATTTAGAGCTACGCGTAGAAATTAGGGTTCGCCAGATTCAAAGATTCCTAAACCCTAAGTTCCGTTACCTAAACATCAAAAACCTAATCTAAATCGATACTAATCTACAGTAGAACGAGCAGATGTGATTTGAGATCGAAACAAACCTGAGCGATGGATGTTGAGAAGATCGACGATTCTTTTGGTTGTGAGAGATTTGAAGAGAGTGAGAAAAACGGCGCAGGTAGAGGAAGATGAAGAAGAAGACGAACAAATAGTGGTGTGGTGCTGCTCAATGTTTTTTTATTTTATCTATGGGTCCTCCTTTTCTTAACCCTTTTCTATTATTCTCGACAAATATCTTATTTTTCATTATACCCCCCCCCCTTCCCCCAATAAAAAATCCTACATTGAACCGAATACCGGTTCACTTCTATTTCCGGTTGGGCTACGCTGGCTTACATGGGCTTAAATCGTGCAATTGGGTATTATGGGCCCAAATTGTCCCAAATTATATATGCGCTTGCTAAGAACAACACTAGTAAGAGGTGTAAATTTTATTTTTTGTAATGAGGCGTGAGCATTTAACATTATACAAAACGTTTATGTTTGTGACAAAAAAAAAAAAATATACAAAACGTTTATGTTTAAATGATTTTTTCAGAATAAAACGGAAATAATTTTTTAAAATTGAAACGATTTGAAGGATAACTAATGTGTCTTATAAGTTATAAACATGCAAATAATTATTAGTATATATAAAGAAAAATGAATGTGGACAGCAAAATCCACTGAGATTCCTATTTCATACGCCTAGAGGCTAAAAGGTGAGCGAGACAACGCTAACGGTCGGTGACAAAGAAAAAGACAAGTCGACATATTTAACACGAAGTTCTACTTTCTAGTACAGTAGTCGTTGAATTTGATGAGGTGGGCCTTTAACTGGGCCTAACTCAGACTTCTACACTTCAAAAGAAAAAAAAAGTCTCCTCTTCATAATCAGTCCCAAACCTTCTACAAATTTGATCCATTCGCGTTCACCAACCGCCATTACCAATGTCCAGTAGGTACAAATTAAATTATCGACATAATAACACATCAATAGGTGCAGGAGCTGCTACAAGTGCTTAAGCAGAAACTGCTATCTGTGTTGGAGAAAGGACTAGGACTAAATTTATGATTTACTGAATACTTTATAACTCGCGATCAGCTTTATTAACGTTTATACTTTTTGTTTTAGGCTCATAAAAGAGCTTATTAATTAGGTCATATCGACACATCAAAAGGACATGTGAGAGAATATGTTAGGTATATACATTCCATTCCACCATCATCCTGCACGTTACCGGTTACACAGCGTTGGAACACAAAACTTTTTACCCACTTTTTGTGTATCACTTTCGAGTCTAACAACTGATAAGTATTGTATGTTATTGTTACCGATACAATGATGAAAAGGTAAAATAGTACCAAAACAATTGACATCTAGTTTTCACCTTTATGTTTGTCTTTAAATGAATGAACCTCTGCATAAGCAACATTTTGATCCATATATATTGTTCATTACCTGAGCATCACATATTTTTTATCATCTTAGAAGAAGTACTTTTATTTGTTTTTTATACACGAAGAAGTAATAACGAAAGATATAAAGGAAGTGGGGAGTGAGCTGGCCTAGGCTGGAAGTGGTGCAAAAAGGTTTAGAACAAAGCCATGCGATACCAAACAAACGCAAATGACAAACTATGCAGCAACAGTTATATTAAAAATTTAAAATCATCATGAAAATATTATATTAAATTATCATTATTTTGCCTAAGACTATAATACATTATCATGGCTTGTGTATTGTTTTTGTTTCTGCTAAATGCGTTGTAGATTGTTACATCATCGTCCTAACTCTTTCAGAAAAAAACGTGTAATCATCATTCATCAACCAGATATTGTTCAACGTACGTACCGTGTACTTACAAGAGTATATCAATCATGTATAAAATGACATCACGCACATTTATTTCTCAAAATTTATAATCAGCAAAATTGACATTAGTATTAAAAAAATGTTATGCCACGTAAGTAGCATTTGCATGGCATGTGTAGTATTACTCGTCATGCTCACATCATCGAATATTGCCCCCACAAACAAACATACGAGCACTAGACAAGAAAAATAATTTTGGCATGTACTAATCATAACATTAGAAGTTTATATTTTAATTAAGATCCGCCCTTTCGGTTGAATATACCCTCATGCTGCTCTCACTTGTGCAAGAGTGATGAGTTTAGCATAACTGAATTATATTCTAATATATATACGGTTAAGTTGGTGGGTTACATGTTTTTCACTTATAAGCTGTACATTTGATAATCATAAAATATAATTAGGTTGTAACTGGTAACTTTGAAATAACATTAGTAAAATAAAAGTAGTTAGATGGAATAGAATAAATGACATATGTTAGGATTGAAATATATTCATTCCATTCAAATGAAACGGTAAAATAAATTATAGAATCAATGAAATAAATGATTCCATATCCTTTTATTTCAAAACTGATAATCCAGCTACTACAGGCTTGCAGCATAATCTCATCATTAAAAATCGACCAGAATCTGCTCACACTTATTACTGAGTACATAATTAGCAAGAAATATACGTTTTCGGATATTAAGATTTCATATACTCCGTCCATTAAATTGTTGCAAACTCTCAAGTTGTTTTAATTAGTTTAGTTCAGGTTGTCACTCTCGTTTTTCAATGCAAAGATGCTAGGTTGGTTTCCTTATTAAATCGTTAACGTATCTATCTCCACTACATATGAAATTAAGAAAACGTTCAATATATGTAGTACGCACGGAAATCACATATATAAATCGATAAATATAATTAAGTAACGTAATTTGAAAAAACAGAGACCGACATATAAATAGTAAATTAATATTTGCAGACATATACTCACGTGTAGCAGGAATATTCGACGGACTGTCCTCCATTGTATCACACATTAGAAGGATGAACGTAAGCGAGAGAATAAAAAAAAAACGTAAAAAGCGAAACATGATTCATTGCTTAGTAAGGCTTAAAAGCTTTAAATCATAGACGCTTTTATTGAAAAATAGTGGTCAATAATACACTAATTAATGAATATATATATAACCATCATTAAATCATAAAGACAATCGAAAAAAAGAGTCAATTACAAAACACACACACACACACTAACATTTGTGACATGATATACGTCAAAAGAAGCCACCCATTGCAACAAGACAACAAAAACAATAACAAAAACAAAACAAAAAGGTTAATTAAGGCTTTAAGTATTGATTAACACACTAAGTAACACAGAAGAAAAAGAAGACGCCTTTATTTAACTCCGATCTTCGTTCTCTCAGAACCGAATCGAACCCATAAGGGATCTAGAGAGAAAGAGAAGAAAAGATCATCTCTTTTAATTTGAGTTTCTTTTTTCGTTTAAAGCTTAATAAGAGAGATCTTCTCTCCTTCTTCGTCTCTTTGATTTCAGCTGATTGGTTTCTCTCTCTCTCTGATCTACCAAAAGCTGGTAAGGACCAATAACACCATCTTTGTTTTTTGTTTTTTATGTTTCATGTATTTTTTATACTCTGTGATTTGATTCTACGTGTTGGACATGCAGAGAAACTCTTCTTTGTTTTGATTCGCAATGTGTCGTTAGATTAATCTGTTTCTGTTTTGTTTTGTTTTTGTTTTTGTTTTGCAGCTACGGTCTTGTCATGTGATGCTCTTTATAGCTCGTAGAATCCGCCCGTTAATCTCAAACAAACACTCTCACAAATCATCATCCCATCATGGATTTTAACGAGATCTTGTCCTTCTTTATCGATCACTTACCAATTTTGGAGCTCTGTTCTGTCCTCATCAACCTCACGCTCTTCGTGGTGTTTATACTTTCACAGATTCTCTTCTGCGTTAGAAGAGGCAGAGATAGATTCTCTAAGGAAGATACGGTTACTGTTAATGTTAGCTTGGAAAGAGAAGCTAACGATGTTAGTTTCGGGACTGGTTTTAAATTATCTTTGTTCTGTTGCTTCTATGTGTTAAGCGTACAAGTTTTGGTGTTAGTGTTTGATGGGATTAATGTTTTAAGAGAAGCTAGTGACTGGTTTGTTCTCTGTTTCCCAGCTGCTCAGTGTTTAGCTTGGGTTGTTATTAGCTTCTTAACTCTCCATTTGAAATACTACAAGCCGTCAGAGAAGTTACCCTTCTTGCTGAGGATATGGTGGTTCTTGGCGTTTTCTGTTTGTCTCTGTACTTTGTATGTGGACGGAAGAAGGCTAGCGGTTGAAGGTTGGAGCGGATGTTCATCTCACGTTGTGGCTTATTTAGTTGTTACACCTGCTCTTGGGTTTCTTTGCTTCGTGGCGTTGAGAGGTGTTTCTGGTATTGAAGTTCGTGGAAGCTCTTCTGATCTTCAGGAGCCTCTGCTTGTGGAAGAAGAAGCAGCTTGTCTTAAAGTCACTCCGTATAGTAGTGCTGGACTTGTTAGTCTAGTGACTCTTTCTTGGTTGGATCCGCTTCTCTCAGCTGGTTCAAAGAGACCGCTTGAGCTCAAGGATATACCGCTTCTTGCACCGAGAGATAGAGCAAAGGCAAGTTACAAGGTGTTGAAGTCGAATTGGAAGAGGTCGAAGTCGGAGAATCCTTCAAGGCCTCCTTCTTTGGCCCGTTCAATTCTGAAATCATTTTGGAAAGAAGCAGCTTGCAATGCGGTTTTTGCTGGGTTGAATACTCTCTTGTCATATGTGGGGCCTTACATGATCAGCTACTTTGTTGATTATCTTGGAGGGAAGGAGATTTTCCCTCATGAAGGATATGTGCTCGCGGGGATATTCTTTGCGTCCAAGCTTGCAGAGACAGTCACCACCCGTCAGTGGTACATGGGGGTTGATATCTTAGGGATGCATGTTAGGTCAGCTCTAACAGCGATGGTATACAGAAAAGGTCTCAAGCTTTCGAGTATAGCCAAGCAGAATCACACAAGCGGCGAGATTGTAAACTACATGGCAGTTGATGTTCAACGCATAGGAGACTACTCGTGGTATCTTCATGATATTTGGATGCTTCCAATGCAAATAGTTCTCGCTCTTGCAATCTTGTATAAGAGTGTGGGCATAGCATCTGTAGCTACATTAGTTGCGACAATAATCTCGATTCTTGTCACTATTCCTTTGGCTAAGGTTCAGGAAGAGTATCAAGATAAGTTGATG